TCATAAAGAGGGACATCATCTGTCGTTACGGAGTTCCCGAATGGATCATTACTGATAATGGTTCGAATCTGAATAACAAGATGATGAAGGAGCTGTGCCAGAGTTTTAAAATTGAACACCACAACTCATCTCCTTACCGGCCGAAGATGAATGGCGCCGTTGAAGCGGCCAATAAGAACATCAAGAAAATCGTGCAGAAGATGGTTGTGACCTATAAGGATTGGCACGAGATGTTGCCATTTGCATTGCACGGTTATCGTACAACGGTGCGTATATCAACCGGGGCAACTCCTTTCTCACTGGTGTATGGTATGGAAGTTGTCCTACCGTTAGAAGTTGAGATTCCTTCTTTATGAGTTTTGGTTGACGTGAAACTCGACGAGGCATAATGGGTTAAGAGCCGATTAAACCAACTCAGCCTGATGGACGAGAAAAGATTAGCATCGATTGCATATGGTCGTCTGTACCAAAGTCGAATGAAGAAAGCTTATGATAAGAAGGTGCGTCCTAGAAGCTTTCAGACGGGTGATCTCGTCCTGAAGAAGATTCTTCCTCCACACGCCGATCACCGGGGCAAGTGGACTCCCAATTATGAAGGTCCGTACATCGTCAGCAAGGTCTTTACGGGAGGAGCCTTGTTGTTATCCACGATGGATGGTGAAGATTTTGCATCCCCGGTGAACGCAGACGCAGTTAAAAAATACTTTGCTTAAAAAATGACCCGCTGGAAAGAAAAAGAGTATCCAGGCAAAAAGGGGGCATCCCGGCGAACCATAAAAAAGGAAAAGGGTTCGGGCAAAAATTAGGGATATAAAGAAAATAATGTACACCCGCAAATTCGAAAACCCGGAAGGGCGACTTTGGCAAAAAAGGGTATCCCGGTGAATCGAAAACCCGGAAGGGCGATTCAGGCAAAAGTTAGGGATTTAAAAAAGCAAATGATTGTGTTCCGCGTATGGACTGTATTTGTTTAGTGGTTTGGAAGACCTGAGGGCCGTTTATCTGAATCAATCTCTTCTGAAGCTGAAGCGTCGGAGAAGTATCGAAGTCGAGTGGGTCATAGAGGCATCAACTCATGGTGTTCGTATATGCCTCGTTGCCGACATTTGTATATACTGATGTATATTTATGTTTTCATATTTGCGCAGCTTCCTCATTCTAGGAGCTTGCATCTGTTGTAAAACATTTTTACCCATTCAGGGGTTCGTTATCAATAAAATGTATACCATTCGGCAATTCTGTCTGTCTGTTTAGCATTTATCTGTTTTGTTTGCGAAAAAGAACGCCGATGTTTTTGATAAAATGCACATACATAAACTTACCGGCCTAGGCCGCTGATTGTTGAAACAATGAATTACTTGAACATTGTCACAAGATGATAACCTTGATAGGTTCCTTTGAAAAGGGTATCTTGTCTGTTTGTTTGTGTTGTCGCTAGTACAACATATTCCGGGCAGTGCGCCGTATGCGTCCCCAAGCAGGATGATTCCTTCCCCTCCAGCAAGTTCAGTAACACCTCCCCGCAGAGTCTGAACATGAAATTGAAAGCATTGATATGTTTCCCCAAGCAGAGAAGATTCTCTCCCAACCAGATGTACCCTGAAGAATGTCATCTCCCCAGCTGAGTCACATATTGAAGTGCGCAACAATATATAGTTCAAGACTAAAGTCTCCAGCTGAATTGAGATCCCCCACAGAGTCGTACTCTCCCCCAAGCAGGATGATTCCTTCCTCCCCAGCCGAGTTTGCAGATCCCCAAGAGAGCTGAGTCCTTGGAAGCCGTTTGGACAATGATTGGTTTTCCCGAGTAGAGTGTTGAATAGCCGATGTTGTATCTCCTCATCGGAGTCGTTATCTCCAGGAAAGTAGTCGTGAAGGCCGCGCAGTTTATTTCTGCAATTGATATCGTTTCCTCAACAGTTGTGGTTCATATGCCCGGTTGAGCGGGTTCAGGTTCTCGTAGAGCTTTATTCCCCTGCAGTAGTCGACTGAAGTTCGTTTCTCCAGGCGGAGTCCAATTGAGATTGGTGTAACTTCTTCTTCTTGGCAGGATGATTCCTCCTCTCCACCCGAGTGGTCCTTTCCCCTTGACAGGAGGATTCTCCCTTCGGCATTTATTTTGCTGATGGGGCCGTAGCAGTTTGCATGATTGCATAGCATCTACCTTAAATGCGTAGCATTTCCACCGTGTGGAGCATTGCGCCATAGTCACATGCATATGAAACATGAGCTAGGTTGTTACCGTTCTTGTTTTGCAGGTGTTCCCCGACAGGGTGTCTGCTCAGGATGACTCCTGAAGTCTCGGAAGAGTTAAGTGGCTCAAGATGATTCTTGAATTCCCCCCAGCAAAGTCGTTTGCCCAAGATGATTCTTGAATTCTCCAGCGAAGTTGGTTGCTTAAGATGATTCTTAAAATCCCCTGTGAAGTCGCCAGAGAGGGTAGCTCAAGTTGATGCTTAGAGTCCCCGGCAGAGTGTTTGCTCAGGATGATTCCTGAAATCTCCAGCAGAGTTATTGGTTCAGGATGATTCTTGAAGCCTCCGGCGAAGTTATTTGTCCAAGATGATTCCTGAAGTCCTCAGCAGAGTTGATTCGGCCAGAATGATTTCTGAAGCCCCGAAGTTGAGTTACTTGATAGTTCTCCAGAATCCCCAGCGGAGATGCGTCATCCCCAACAGGTTTCTGAACAACGAAGTTGAAACTTCCCTTGAAAGACTTGATGATTGAAGTCCAACCGTATTAACGAAGCAGTTCTCTCAGCTGATGCGGAGTGCCTGATGGCAGAAGTTTGGATATCCCCAATTGGTTAATGATTGACTGAGAATTCTATTCCAGGCTTAGTGATGAAGTTCGGCTGACGCCCAAAAAAAATTTTTCTATGAATGCCCGATGGCATGATTAACTTGATTGTTGACCTGATGAGTCCCGAGGAATCTTGATGCCTGACGGCATGATCGACCATGTATCACTGGTTACCGTGTGACCAATTCTCCAGCTAGTTGTCGTGCAGCTAATATCTCAGTTTTCGAAGATTTGTCCCCATCAGAGTACCGTGTACTTGTGCAGTTGGCAAATTTCCGGGTTTGTTGGTATTCAACCATCTTTTACCTTGATTGTTTGAGAGTCGTTCGCTTCTCACCCAGTCAGGTCCAAGCCGTTTGAATAGGGGCAGTTGTTGCACCCCAAAATTTGCCCAACATTTCTTTACATAGCTTATGTTTCATTTCATTCACATTAGCATTATCATTTGCATTTCATTGACATGTATGCAGGAGATCAAGAGGTATGATTACCAATTAAGAGCTATACAAGAGTTTAAAGCTAGCTAAGAGGGTTATTCAAGTGTTCAAGGGTTGATATCCTTGTCAGAGAAGTTAAAGGATTCTCAGAGTGAGTGGTTGAAACCAAGGTTGTGTGCCTCCTAACTTGAGAGTTGTGGGAAGTCCTCAGATGATTCTGAAGCCATGGAGTTGGACTTGAGGTCTTGAGAGAACTCATGAGGAGTGTTGAAGATCACTTTGAAGCCTAGATAGGTCATTATGCAAGATTAAGAAGACTCAGCCATGAGTGGTGCAGTTAGGGTTTGACTGGGTCAACCCTAGGTCAATTGATGATTTGAACAAGGTTGAGACCTAATTCAAAGGTCATATGATCATGTATTGATGCATTTAGATGCTATAAGGATGATTCCAAGGTTAACTCATCATGATTTAAGAGTTTGAGAAGTTTCAAGCTAGGGTTTCTAAGACTTGACAGTGTAAAATCCCCTAGTTTGATCCCTATCTTCAAGACTATTTAGCTCAAGATGTGATTGTCATCTCATCTTGCCCCCTGTCATACCCCAAATTTGTCCTACCCTGTATATAACTTTCATTTTGTATGCTCGGCCCCTAGCCATGACTCAGGAAAAATACAAAAAATGTCGCTTTGACTTTTTATTTTATTTTATTTTATTTTTGCCCAAGTTCAGGTTCATTTGAAGCCATCAGGAAAATAAGGTGAGGTGTTGGGGGAAGTTTATGTGACTTTGACCTGGGTCGTTGGTCAGAGAGGATTTGGTCTCTTGATTGAGACCAGGAAATGCTTTATTCAATTGGCGAGGTTTAGAACTTTCAATCAAGGTTTTATGCTAATATGGGATTGAAACCAAGCCCATATTACAATTTACAAAAGAACAAACCAGGAAATGGTACAAAAGTGACAGTAGCCCCGCGCTAATAACAAGTTGATGCAAAGGTCGCGATAACCGAGCCACAAGGCCACTGCCCTGTACTCCACAAATTAATCCATGTTACCTGCATAAAACTTCATAAGTCGCCTTTGTTGCTCGACCATAACCTGCATTAAATAACAAGACAGTCATTTTGGCATTTGGTATGTGAAAAAGTTAGTCAAAAGAAAGTTCAATAAAGGCTATAACGACTATCGCATCACACAACAGACGGTACACTGCTCTGTACCTGCAGATTTTCAAAACAAGAAAAATGGGAATTATGTGAATGACAAAGCCAACCTGCTATCACACCAATTCTCTAACAGCATGTTACCGCGTAACCGTTTTCTGAACCACTGAAATCCGCTTCTAACAAAATGACCCATTCACTTTCACACTCTCTCCACCTACCAAACCCCTCCCCTTTCATCCCCACACTCCTCCACCCAAACACCAGCAAAACTCTCTCCAACCCAACAACATTAACTACACTGCTACAATTTCAGGTTCCTCTTGATCCCTTCAATTTTATTACTCTTACCTACCCTTCATTGATTCCTTTTGTACTTCTTACCTGTCTCTAACAAGGGTCATGTCCCTTTCCTACCAACCTTTATCTGCATACCCTCTTTCACTTTCAAACTCACTGCTTCACCATGCAACTTGGGTCTCCGTTTTTCTTTTGTTTTACTATCTCTGAATCATAAAGTTCACATTTTTATCTTAAGGGGTTATTAAAAATTGAGTCTTTTCTATGAATGATTGGTGAAGTACTGTGATTTAGAAAATGGGTGCTACTAACTCAAGAGCTGAAAAGAATGAAGCTTTATGTATGTGTAAAGAAAGAAAACGGTTCATCAAGGTGGCTATTGATTCTAGATATGATTTAGCTGCTTCGCATGTTTCTTACATTCAATCTCTTAGAAATGTTGGTATAGCTTTAAGAAGATATGCTGAAGCTGAGGTGCTTGTAGAGTCTTCTTTATCGATTTCTGATAAAACGCCTTCTTAAACTAGTTACCCTTCTCCTTCATCGTCGTTGAATGTTGCTGAGGTTGAGGCTTCAGATTCACCTTTGCATAATGAAAGTCCTTTTTCAACACCTCCTCCTTCTCTTAGTTACATGAGATCAAGTGGTAGTGGTTCTGTTACTGTTACAATTGATGCTTTTAGTAACAAGTACTTGGATGATGATTCCAATGTTGGTTTCTTCTATGCCTCCACCTTCTCCTCCACCTGAGCTAGGTGCATCTTGGGATTTCTTTGATCCTGGTGAGGATAGTGAGAGCTTTAGGTTTGTTGTGAATGGTAGTGAGTTTAGAGATTGCAAGGATCAGTGGTTTCAACTTGGTTCAGATGATCGTTTGGTTGTTTCAAGGGGAGTTGAAGGTTGTGAACAATTGGTTGATGGAAATGTGAGACAGTTAGAGGTGGTAACGGCACCAGGTAGCGCTGATGAAGACATAAATCTTGATGTGGCTGAAAAGGGTGGTGTTGGAAAATCATTTTCAAAGAAGGAGAAGAAGCAGATGGATGAGAATAATGTGTGCACAGAAAGAGAGGATCCTTCAGAGTTCATCACTCATAGACCCAAAGATTTTCACTCCAGCATAAAGGATATAGAGCATAGGTTCATTCGAGCTTCAGAATCTGGTAGAGATGTTTCAAGGCTGTTAGAGGCAAACAAAATCAAAGTTGGATTTTTTGAGGCAAAAGGGAAGTCATCTACAATGGCTTTGATCACGTCCATCCAGCCCGTTTGTTGCCGCAGAAAGACATCACCTGTTTTCCAAGAACCTGTACAAAAAATCATAAGTTGGAAAAGGACAACATCTTTTCAATCATCCTCATCCAGGAACCCTTTGGCTTCAAGATCAAGGGAAGATATTGATGATAGTGGTAGTGATTTTGTTGAAGAATTCTGCATGATTGCTGGAAGTCATTCATAAACCCTTGATAGACTGTATGCATGGGAGCGAAAACTCTATGATGAAGTAAAGGCTAGTGAATCCATCAGGAAGGTCTATGATCGAAAATGTCACCAGCTCATGCATCAATTTGCAAAAAACCAACAGTACATTCCTCACAAAACCGTTGTGGTTTCTCTTTCGTACATCATGGTACAACTTGCAAAACGAGAAATAAAATAACACCACCATATACCTATTTGCAAAAAAAAAAGGAAAGATAATATAAAACATGTGTTAGCAGATACCACAAAGCTACCAGCTGCGCAAGTTGTTGCTCACAACTTTTGGTACCTATAGAAAACCGATAAAAGGACAACAGCAGCTCCCAATATCGCTACAGCCAGTACTACAAAATCTGCAACAGCAGAAAAAGCAGAGACAACCATTACAATACCAACCCACTCACAATTCAAAAAGAAAAAAGTTGTTGAAATATCCAAAAGGGACCTGCAAAACGACAAAGAGGGAAGCAAATATCAGCTTGAGATATTATCCATTAAACCCTATAAAACTCGATTCTGAAAAGAGGATTGGGGGAGGCCTCCAACCGAAAACCTAGCCACCTCCAACAGACTCAAAACCCTAGCCGCCACCTTCTTGGATCCACCCTCTCTGTTCTTCATCCTCAACTCACTCACCGCAGAAAAAAATCTCTCTTCATAAACTCTTTACTCTTCATTCTTCATGGTAAAAAAAAGGGGATAACTTGTTTCACATACTCCCAACTCATCTTCATACCCAGAATCGATACCCATACCATCTCCCACCTTCATCTTCTTCAACCTTCATATCCTCAAATCCTAACCCTTCTTTAAAGTTCACCCCTTTCTTCAACCCAGAAAAAGAACTCAACGTTAATCGCAAATCTAACCCTCCATTTTCGAAATTCTTAATCAATCAATCCAAAAATACCCAACGATACAAACCCTCAAACAAAATCGAGAAGCCAATCAGCAAAAACCCTCGATAACCTGGCCACTTTCAGTTATCCTCTGTTCTTCATCTCCAATCAAAACCCCAATCCCTCTTCTCCTTCAATCTCACCTCCTTCTTCATTTTTTCCAATCGCAAAAACCCCTTTATCAGAACCCATATTAGAATCAAGACGGAAAGGGGAAAAGAGGAACTTTCAAAACCAATAGAACCCTCGAGCGTTCGAACCTAGATTTCGAACGGAGACGATTGAGACGAAGGTGAAGGATATGTCTCTTATGGTTTCATTTTCTTCAATTTGTTTTGTGTGAAATCAAAGCTTTGCTTTTGCTTCTCATGTTTATTCTTTGTTTGGACCTGTCTTCTTTTTCATACTGATGCTGGTATTCTAAAAAAGCAAGTTGCGTAGTTCTGTTGTGAAAAAGAGAAGAGGATTAATTTTGGTTTGGTTTCCGTGTCCTTGCTTTTCAACGTTCTTTTGTTTTTCTTTATTGATTAATCGTGTTTGGTGGGCCGGTGAAGTTTTGTAAGCCCGTGATGAGTTCTCATTCGCACCCTTCAATTAATTATTGCGCTCCATTTGTTAATCATTTTTGAAGAAGGGGATGGGCTTGGTCCCGAAGGATTCCCTCCTGTGTACTCCCATGTTCATTTCTTTTTTTTTGCAAAAAAATTGGTTTCATAAATTAGTTATTTAAAGTTTTTATTTGACGCCGAAGTTTTTTAAAATCTTGTTTTCATTTATTTATTAATTTTTACGGTCGATGACGATACCCCGAGTTATAATTTGTCAAATTATTGACAAATAATAACAAACCCGAGACCATTTTTTTTCAAAATTTCATTTTCGTTTTTTATCCATTTTTTTTTCTTATTCTTTAGTCAATGATGACTTTAATAATTATTATCGGTCAAATTATTGATAGATGATAATTTAGTCGAGACTATTTCATTTTTTGCTTCAAATCATTTTTAAAACATTTTCTCGATCAAACTCCAAAAGAAGGAGATTCTTGGAATCTAGCATTCCTTGGATCTTCGAGTTATTAATTCTCGAGGCACGCTCTTGAGTTGTTATTCACTCAATCTTTTGATTTTCTCAAACGCTTTCTCAATATCTTTTTTCGATTAAAACTCTGAAAGAAGGAGATTCTTGGAATCTAGCATTCCTTGAATTTTCGAGTGAATAGTTCTCGAGGCACGCCCTTTGAGTTGTTATTCACTCAACCTTTCGACTTTTTCAAATATTAATCATTCTCAAACATTCTCCTAAGTCAAATGCTCGTACGCATTCGCAACCCACATTTCGTACATTTCATTCACAACTCCTCATGGTTTCGATATTAGGGGCACCCTCAGGGACTAATATCGTTTCTCACATCCAAACCCTTGACACGTCGTCAAGTTGGTTTCATTTTCAAACAAATCCTCGACACGTCGTCGAACTACTTCAAAACAACTTTTTTATTGGCCTTGCATGCCATTCTTCGATTCGATCCTTTCACAAACATTTTTAAAACTTACGAAAGAGGGATATTCTCAGAATCAAGCATTTTTGAATATTCGAATGAATAACTCTCGAGGCGCGCCCTTAAGTTGTTATTAATTCATTCTTTCGATTTCAAAACATCCAACTCTTTAGCTTCATCTTATTCAGTCAATTCCCGAAAGAACTGAGTTCTTGAAATCTCGCATTCCTTAAATTTTTGAGTGACAAGCTCTTGAGACGCGCTCTTGGGTTGCTTGTCAGTCACTCTTTTGTCTCAAACTCAAACTACAATCCTTTTAAACCTCCTTTTCGTGGTTGTTACCACGAACTGCGGACGCTCTGATTCTTTATTCATTCTTGAATATAAGATACGTAGGCACAAGATTGATATGATCTTGGCGAGCACAATCCCCTTCATCTTCCACTTCCCCTATCCTTTCCCGTAGTCGAACTACGACGCTCTGATTTCTCATTCTCGTCCGAATGAGCATACGTAGGCACAAGGGCCCCAATCCTTGGCGAGCACCCTATCCTCTAACTACCCACCTCTCCTTTGCGTCTTTAACCTTTTACCCTACCAATTCGCCTTAGCAACGAGAAGAAAAAACAAGTAAACCTAAACAACACTCCCCACAATTACCTTAAGAGGTTCCCGTCGAGTACGACGAACGTGAGGGGTGCTAATACGTTCCCCTCACGTAACCGACTCCCGAACCCGGAACATGGTTGCGACAGCCCTGTTCCTATCCTTTCGTTTCAAGAGGTTTTCTCGATATTTTCCTCTCTCATTCATTCGGGAAAAATAAAGTTCGGTGGCGACTCTGTCGAACCGCATTTCCGCGCCTTTCGCGCGGGGGTCGTTTTCTCCGAAATGTCTCCGTGATTTTTTCGAGGTGCGACAGGTGGCGACTCTGCTGGGGACATTTTTGCTCCATGCAAAGAGAGAGTCGAGCCTATCTTTTGGTTTGTGAGGAGTGTTTGTTTTTTATTTGTTTTCTTTTTGTATTTGTTCTCTTGTAGATTTTATTTGTGCTTGTTATCTGGGCTTGTTGGTTTTTGGGATGACATCATGAGTAAGGCTCTACGCCCGAGCTTTGGTAAAAGCAGAGAGAGCACATAGTTTAGAATTGGTAGTCGAGTAGTGTTAGTCTCCAAGGACTTGCTCCTTGTGGGCCTAGCATGAAAGCTCCTCCAGAGGAGACCTATTCGTAGATCTCGTCGTAACGCAGCTAGCCTGTTGCATGACTTGATTAATGAAGGGTTCGTGATTCTGGGAACCTTTTGTTAGCACCAGTTCTGATATTGGTGGTCGTGTAGTGTTAGTCTCCAAGGACTCGCTCCTTGTGCGCCTAGCATGAGGACCCCGCTCAGGAGAGACCTTATCGTCATTATCATCGTAATACAACCAGCCTGTTGCATGACGCTAATACGACTAGTGTCCGTGATCCTGGGAACCAAAACGTAGGAACCATCCCGTAAGTGGGTTTATGGGTAGAATGTTTAGATCTTCCCGTATAGGTTGTACTCGTCAGTTTTTGATCGGAAATTGTGGTTGTGGATCTATTACAGTTATCAGCTCCAAAATTGTTTGATTGTGATCCTGTGATCCTAGATCTTGCATCTTGCATTGCATCTTGCATATCATTTGCATTGCATTTCATATGTTGTGCGTTTTGCATTTCCAGTCCTTCAACAGAATCTTATGTCTTCGTTCCTTCCTCTCCAGTAAATCAAGTTGATTCCTCGACACCAGTACGCAACTAGAGCCAATACCAGACGAATGATGGAGCAGATTCAACAGGAGCAAGCCGCCTTCAGGGAAGAGTTGGATTCTATAAAAGGAAAGATCGATCAGATCCTCGAAGCCATCCTCGCGGCCAGAAGAGAGGAAGAACAGCGTGAAGCCGCTGCTGTCGTCAACAACAATGGTCAAGGACAAGGGTCTACTGCCATCCCTTTGGTTCCAATTCCAAATCCTTATGGGATGCCGTTGAACTTCAACAACGCAGTCGAAGGAAACACTTCTCAGCCAATCCCAGCGCTTGGAGTTACTGTTGGAGTTATCCCGCATACCCAACCTACTGCTGTGCAAATCCCAGTTCCTCATATCGAAGATACTTTGATGGATCAGTATGACGATGTTCAGAACTATCATGCTGCTATCCCCATTGCCAGTCATGTTGCTGCTCAGGATTCTGAAGCCATGAAGATGTGCCGAGATCTAGCCGAGAAACTCCGAGCCATGGAGGGGCACAATTCAAATTCTTTCAGTGCTTTAGAATTATGCTTGGTGCCTGATGTTGTCATTCCTCCCAAGTTCAAAGTGCCCTAATTTTCAAAGTACAAGGGTCTCAGTTGCCCAAACATTCATCTGAAGATGTACTGTTGTAAGATGGCTGCCTATGCCAGAGATGAGAAGCTCATGATCCATTGCTTCCAGGACAGCTTGTCTGGGGCGTCACTCGAATGGTATATGCAGTTGGAACATAGCAGCGTGCGCACTTGGGCCGAGCTAGCCGATGCATTTGTCAAACAGTACAAATACAACACAGATCTC